GGTGCCATGGGTAGCCACAACACCTGCACGGGGCTCCCGGAGGAGCGTGGGCTGCCCTAGGCTGTCTGAAATCACACTAATGTCAACGTTTTGGCAGATAAATCCCACCCAAGGACCTGGTTCTGACTGCAACTCCATCTGCTCCCCGATCCCCATGGGTACTCCCATCTACGCAGACACGGGCTAACGCCGGTCCTAAGGAATTCCCTAAGAGCCTCTGAAGAGCACTTTCAGGACATGGGTTAGCAGATGTGGTGGTGCTGGATTGATGGTTAGACCTGAGCTCTTAGAGGTCTTTTCCAACCTTAATGATTCTATAATCCCATAAGAATCGGGTACGTCCCCCAGGTCAGCACCTACCTAGCACAGTCCAGCTGCACAGCTCCAGAAGGTCATACGGGCAGCGTTACCAAGCCAGGCTCATGCTCACCCCTCCAGGCAGAGGAAAACGCTTAGCTGGCACGTGGGAATTTCTTCCCTTTCAAGTCCTTCATGGTGAATTAAGTTTTTGAATCCCATCCCCACTGGTCGCTTTGCCTAATCGCCGCTCTCTTACTATTTCAGGGGCGGCCTGTGCCGTTTTTGTGACTCTACTAAATTACTTTGTTCTGGCATGAATACATTTGCTCCTTGACGTTCTTTTTAAAATGAAAGCGGATATGAAAATTTACTCTAAAATGTACATTGCTCATAAAACTTTTATTAAGTATTATTAGTGCTTAAGAGAAGGATTTAATGTATTTGTGAAGCCAGGCTACAGGATCCTTATATTAAAGGCAGTCTCATGCTTGGGGACTGATTTATGCTGAATAGCAGAGATGAGCCTAAACCAAGCTTGCAGCTCTCCTACCATGTCTCCTGCCAGGGCTTGGCCTGCTGGGAGCAAAGGAGACATTTCACCAAGCTGATGTCACCCTGGAACGAGGGTGCTAGGGACCTACAAGCAGCCGTTGCAGCTGGCAGACATCACATTACACGTCAGGCAGGGCTTTAGCTGCATTCGCAGCAACCAGCAGTGGAGGAAACGTAGAGGTTGTTCCCCGTCCAGCACCTTCCAAGCCCTTGTCGTGTCAAAGGCTCAGAGGACAGATATCCTGCGCTTCATTAGGAAGAAGCTCCTGCTGCTTAGGGGAGTTCAGACGCACAGATCCCACTGTAAGACAGGGGAGAGCTGGATGCTTGCTCCCGCTCAGGCAGCTTCTCTCCAGAGTCTCCTGTCACGGGCACCATCCTTTCACTGGGAATTTACATCTAGACAGCGGGGAAAAAATCTGCCACTCACACATCAGCACGTGACCTCAAATGAAAAATCATATTTTACCTTACCCTACATCAGTAAAAGCTGCAGGTGTTCCTGTCTACCACAAGCACAGCTACAGGAGCCACGGAAAGAGACTCACAGCTGAAAATCCAATAGGAACATTATAAATCTCCTGGAGGAACCGATGCCACCCTGGAGGGCTGACTTCTCAGTTTCTCCTCCGTTACCCTCTTTCCTTTGATTCATCACACCTCCAGTTCTCATCTTATTATTTGTATGCACAAATACCTGGGCTCTGTAGACTTCATAGGACACCAGAGGTGCAGCCACTATCCTCTGAAAAAAGTTAAAACAAGACTTCTGTGCAAAGCAACGGTGGAAGCTGCCTCACTGCATGGGTGAGATGATGGGCATCGAAGCTGGTGGGCTTTTAAAGGCACAGGCAGTGGCACGGCACTGGATGGAGCCTGCAGAAACGACGAGAGGACGGGCCCAGCCCTGTATTATACAGTGGGACGCAAGAGGAGAGAGCAACTTTCTGGTGGGCCAGACAACACGGAGAGGTGTCATATCACAGCGTCCACTTCTCTATAGAAGGGATAAAGGGAGGAGAAGAGATTGATCATGAAAACCACACCGCAACACCAACCACCACGCTAGGCACGCACCGATTAACCAGAAGGACCGCTCGTCCTCACGCTTACAGGTAACAGCTCCTTCTTGCTGATACCGTTCACAGATTTCTATCAATAAAAGTCTCGGCCAGACACTCTAAACCAAAGGACTTGTGTCTGGAGCTTTTATTACAATGTTATGCAAAATGTATGCAAAGCTTATATCTCAAACAGATCTCAAAAGTACTTTTACCTCTATAAAATGAACTGCTAAAGTGCAAAGGCTTCCCAAGCCACGGAAATAATGGCACCAGGCACTCCTCTAAATATTTATATAATGTGATTGCAGCCATTTTGCAAAATCCTTCATAAAGGTATTAAAACATTAAGAGCTGATCCTAACTCTTGGAAGGAATGTCTAACTACTATGAAAATTTCTCTTTTCAGTAAAACCCAGAGACCTTTTCCTTTGTTTTATTCCTACAATAAAAATTGTTTAAAGCCCATTTAATAAGGGTCACCCAGGTGCACGAAAGTTCTTCAGGATCATGTTTGTTACCTACATCTCTTCTTGACTGGGCTAACAGCTCTCCGAGGCAGGATTCCCCCTTAGGGTTTCCACAGCCCCTGAATCTTATGGTTTAATCACACCAGAAGGTTTTCTCCCCTCTGCTTTCCTTACGGACTCTGTGGCTGTTGTGGCATCTAATGGGGTATTTCGCAGGGAGCTTACCACTGCCTGACTTTATTGCCACTGGCATTAATGGGGAAATGTGCTTGGCAGCTACCTGTGCTTTTGCAATCTTTGACATTAGAGCATTTTGACTGCCTTTCCCCTTTGGAAAACCAACCTTTCCAAAGGGTAGCATCTCTCCTGAGCAGCACCCCGGCACAAGCAAGGTCCCGTAGCTGGCTGAGTTACCGTGCGCCAGCGGAGCTGCGACAGAGGAACGGGAGCGCACGGCGGCACGCAGGGACTTCTCCAGCCGCAGATACCCGGTAATATGTCTCATCTCCAGGTGCTTGGTTATTGCTATTTCTTCAGTAACTTCCTATGTTTTTCTGAAGCCTAAGCCAAGAATAAAGATCTTTGGGGGTGATGAGGGTCAGGAGAATCCAAAACTATTTAAAATAAAACTGAGAAAGACTCCTTGTGGCCATGAGAAATAGCTAAAACAACTGAAAATGATTCATTCGAAACCTTGTAAACAAAAGCCACTCAAGTACTTTGAAGTGGATTGCAGAAAG